ACGATTTAAACGCATTTATACGTTTATATTATTGCATTGTCCGTTTAAATGCCAACACTGGAGACGGAGAACTTGCTCTACGCGCTGCCACTTCCCCTACGGATTTCCAGCATGCCGATATCATGCATAGACTCCAGGAGGCGTTACCTGTTGGCCATGCGTACGTACATGGTTGCACTTCATCATAATGGGCGATTGTAAAGGAGGGATTTCCAACTTTCAGCATCCGAACGTCATATGCCGCGGAAAATATTAACGCATGGATGGGGAAGACCTTCGGTCGCCGACCTTACGTATGTGTACAGTACACGTTACTCTTGTAAAGCAAGGCACGTCATCGGTGAGAAAAATTGGCAAAAGAGCAACCCCGACCGTGATTCGCGCAGTGCGTAAATCGACGTTCGAGTGAGGGTTGCTAAAATCTTGACTTGGAGGTAAACTGCCATGCGACAATGTCCAAAATTGCACAAAGTTCTGTATGAATTGTCGCGACGAGTTTCAAGTAACCTCAACGATAAGGCGCTTGTTTGGAAGTACCATTCTACTTATCCAAGTGTTCATGCATTTGCTCAACACAACTCATGCGTTATGAACTTTTGTGTGTGCAATTGCACTTGCGGAGAATGGCAAAAGGATGACTTGCTCTGTGTACATGCTCTCGCCACGCATACTGATATAGGTTGGGATTAACATATCCACCTAGCTAGTTGACATGAACCAGGGTAAAGTTCCCTGCATTCTACCAAAACCTGGAGATCCTGAAATTGTTTTCGAAGGCAGTGTACCCTACCTCCCCCACAAAACCTCCATAGCATACGAACGGTGGTCCCACCCTTCGCTCTGCGTGAATAATCAAAGGTAACAGGACTGTAGTTTTCGATCCTAAGTACAGTTCTATACACCGGTGGGAAGGTCAACTTACAAGAGAAAGCGATCGCGGGATGAGTAACGACAACAATGCAATGCAAAATAAAGTACAAACTTCTTCAACAAATGTCTCGAGATAAATGTCGCGGTGATTGGGATGGTCGGTGAGGTCGCCGACGACAGCGTGGTGGTATTGGGGTGGTCGCCGTCAACGGCATGGCGGCGATTGGGGTAGTTGCCGTTGGCGGCATGGTGGTCGTGGTGCTGCATCGTAGAAGCGTCAAGTGATGCATCGCACTTCGAGAAGACGTCGATGGAAGTTTCGGAAGACTTATGAGATGGACAGTTTTCAAAAATCGGACTCACCAGTAGGATTATCTTACACTTGATTACATTTTATCACAAAAATCTGAGAACTTGACAAGCAATTTGAAGGATTATCGAAATGACTCGTTTTGAACATGGACAAATACATTTTTACGCATGAAGATCTTCAGTCTAAGCGCTCAATTTGATCAGCCAGATACATCTAAAGGTCTAATGCCATAACAATTATTCAGCCTAACGCTCATCGATAGAAACGACTTAGATGGCTTAAGGTGCTCGCTTGAGATTTGAATAGCGCGGTGCAATACTCACTTTTTGTCAGGCCAATCGGTCCATTCGGAGAATCGCGAAAGATCTTTACCAATCCAAAACGATGGTAGCTCACTGTGTCAAGCACTCAGACACCTACGAGAAAACCTGTGTTCCTGAATGGCCACAAAAACCAATTGCCAGGGATGCACGTCGCGTACTTCGTCAGTGTCCGAGAGCAGAAGCTGCTCGCCCTCACGTACCGTTGGCCAAGTGCTACAGCGGAATAATCATTTACAGTACAAAAAGCGCAAGGCCACGCCACAACTTACAAATTCCCACAAGCAAGCACGCGTTTAGTGGGTCAAACACGATGACGACATTTACCCAAAATGGTCTACTGCTTACTTTTCGGATGAAAAGACATTCAACTTGGACGGGTCCGACGGAATTCAATACTACTGGCATGACCTATGCAAGGAAGGACAAACGTTTTGAGCCGACAAAATGGTGGCGGTGGTGTCACGATTTATGACGGATTTTCGCAGACGACCGTATCTCGCTCTCCACATTAAGGGTCGTCAAAACGCATATGCGTACTGCGGCACGGTGGACAGCTTCACGTTTCTGTTCGCGCATTGGAAGCACACCGATGGGTTCTTATTTCAACAGGACACACCAGTGTTCACACGAGCAATGAGATGAAGGCGATTTTGGCTGACTTTGGGGTCGACTTTATGGGGTAGCCATCATCGCTCTCGTCTGATCTCAACGTCATTAAGAATGTGGGGGGGTATTTAGAACGCAAGGTCGGTGCAAACGGCATATAGTTTTTGTCGGTTAGTGAGCCGAAGTGAAATTTTGTGTCAGTGGGATGATATCAAACTTGCTGATCTCATAGACTGGGTGAACCGATGAAATTCAGATGTATCGACGTCCTCAGTGGCCATGAAAACATCACTAAGTACTGAGTTGTAATCTCATCACAATTGAACTTAAAATTGAATGATTTGTGTCCACTTGAGAGATGTGTACCAAAGTTTTTATCCAGTTCCAAATCGAGTCTTCTTGAATTTCCGCACACCCGAGAAATACATTGCATATCTACAAAGTAAAGGTATCAACTTAATGGACTTGGTCTAGTGAATAAAAAGCTGTATTACGCGATGCAAGACGGCTTCATCTAGAAATGGTACGAACCTATATCACGTGAACCAAACATTTTCCTCCAGCACTGTATGCACGTCATCTAAAACCTTCCACCTGGCCAAATTGGGAAGTGAAAGGATTGGTATTATTCTGATGTTACGAAATTTGAAATATTTGAGAAAATATTTTGGAATGTCGAAACTGTCAAAAAAATTTGCTAAGGTGCCAAAAAGTCTCGTTCCAAGGCGGCAGGTACATGAGAACATGGCGGGTTCTTTTAGACTGCCTCTACTTTGATCAGAGTTCTCTCTCCTATCGGAGACTACACCGTCGAGGATAGAAAGTGACAACGGCGAGGCACAGGGAATTAAGTCCGGCGGTCCCTGTATGCGTCTGTACCCGCGGGACGGCACCTTGCATACTGGATATGAAATAGTCAATTGCAACGGTACGATCCTTGCTTCATAAGTATCATGTTACACAATATGAATTTGTACTCTCATTTCAATTAGCAATGTGATTTTGTCTTCTGACATCAGCTTTGGAATGCGTCATTGGCATATTACAGCACTTCTTTTGAGCAAATTTTGTAAACTCACAGTGCATCGAGGGGGCTCTGAGAATTTGATAATAATTTTACTGTACACGGGCTACATTTCAATCCTGAATTTGGCACTACCTGCAATATGCAATATCAAGAAATATATTACTTCATA